TATTATGTAATATATATATATATATATATATATATATATATATATATATTGAGTGAAGTAGAAAGTGAAAGAGATGGATAGGAGATGGTACATGCATTTCTTTCTTCCTTTGATTTCGTTTTTCCTTCCTCCTTGTTTCCCCTCTAATGGAACTTGTCATAAGTTTCACCGAGAACAGTTGCGTTTTTTGGCATCTTACATATATATATATATATATATATATATTATATAGTTTGCAAAAACATGTATCATATATAACTTTTGTCCTTACAAATTGAATAATATGTTCATGTTTATATATATGTCTTTTGGTGAGACTTGAATATATATAATTGTTCCTCTTATATAAATCTTGCCTTCAATGCCTTTTTTTTATTACCGTGCTACATCATTCCTCTTCGGGAAAAATAAAAGAATCGCATTTCGGATGTCCGGCTCGAAAGACTGTTGCGATGGGTTCCCCCGGTTATATATATATATATATATATATATATATATATAAGAATTTCATTATTGCAAGTCACGTATTAATTCATTGAGAATAATTTTTCCTTGTATTTAATGAAAAATTATTCTTCTAGGATTATGTCATGTGTGTGTAGTTGCACATCGTTTTCGTGATTTCCTCACAATTAGTTTTTTTTCCGCCATTTTATTTAGAATTGCATGCAACGACTGCATAATGCAAGAGATGATTAATAAATATTTTATATCTATATATTGACATATATTATATCGACGACCAATCACCATCACCAAAAAATGACACGAACAAAAAAAAACATTTTATTGAGGTACATGTTTATTCTCATTATAGATATAAAATATATTCACCACAACATTAAAATTTGGAGGTCATAATCCATTTGCAAAAGGGAGATTTATTTCATGTATAATTTTCAATACATAATTAATATGTTCTCTGCTTTTTATTTCTTTTTATTGAATGCGAATATTAGTATAGCGATTTGATACTAATTTTAAAAAAATTTAAAAAATACAAACACAAGACTTCTGATCTATAGGCTTGGGTTTAATAATTCTTTTGCATATTGATAAGTCTATAACGAATATTGTAACCATTTAAGTGTGTTATAAATAAAATGACTACAAAAATATTGCATTTAAGTTTCTAAGTCATCGAGCTTAGGTTTAATGAATATTTCGTTTTAGAAACTACTCCTCTACATATGGAAAAATTATATGTTACAAATAACATCTTGATTTTTTTCAGGAAGAGATAATATTATAGTTTTTTTGGGCAGCAAAAGTAAATGATAAATTATATTCTACGTAGATTAAAATAATTATTGGAGATTTTTTTTTATAATTAGGAGGTTCAGCCCACTTAATCTTTTTGAGTCCCGAGTCCGCCTTTAGTTATGTAATTAATTACGTGTCCTCCTCCCCACTAATGGAATTATTGGAGATTTTTATACACGGTTTTATCAATATTTCTTAGAAACTTACCAATTTTTTTTTTCAAGTTCTTAAGTAAATAACTGAAAAATCAAAGTAGAAATAGTTACAAAACTAAGCTTCTGTGTTTCAAAATTTTGGAAGTCGAAAATTAAATAATATTTGTAGGCATGAATATAAAAAAAAAAAAAAGTCAAGAGTTGTTATGAATTGAAACCTTTGGATTCTATGGGAGGGAAAGTCTGTGAAGTGAGATTTTGGTTACAAATTCCGAAGAAAAAACCAAGCAATCGTATAGTCTTCAAAAAGTCAATACCGATTACATTAATACGTAAAACCAAATAAATTTTATTATTATCTTTGAATATAGAGATCAAGATCTAAATAACCATGGTCTATGTAATAATTAAAATATGACAACATAACTGTAAAATAAATACAACAAATAACTATAATACATAAATTTTAACCATAACCAGCGATACGATTAGCAGTGTGAATGCTGAAAACGAGAGGCTTTAAGCATTGGAATTTGGTTGATTTCGTTGTTAATTTTGTTTAGTTGTGAGTTGACTTAGGGTTTAGTGGCACTTTTGTCCCCTCAAAATCACACAGTTAGGTACTGACCAATGTCGGAATCACGCTTGTCATTTGTTTATTAATTAATCAGACACCATCAATAATAAATATGATAATTTCATTACAATAAGTCAACCGCAAGTTGGTTTGTGAATTGTGATGGTGTTACAATGATACAATATTTTATTTAAATAATTACTATATACCATTTTCTGTAAGTTATAGATCATTGTGACGTTAAAATGTGTTTGTATCACAAAATAAAAAAACTAGCATAAGAGATGACATGCATAAATCAAGAGATAATCCAAACTCTAGTTATTACCAATTATTATCTAGAAATTTGGTGGCCAAATATAGTCCAAACCCGTATTATTTTTTTTTTTTTATAATTCGGAAGTTCACCGGATTTTTTCCTTTAACTATATCTTTAAAAGGATCAGGTCCGGGATAAAAGCATGCTTTGTTTTAAATAATTTGGTGGCCACATATTTTTCACGGACTTTTGACCCAACTATATTTCCGTTTTTTTTTTCAGATTTTAAATATTCGATTCATTTTTTAGATGTTTGGTTTTCTAAAAATATTAACTTTCGAGAATTTTAGATGGTTAATTTTGGAAACGATATCGAATTTTTTTGTTCGATCCGTTCGATTTCGAGGAATCGAAATGTTGTCGCCCCTACTCTCTAGGTCATAAAACCCGGCCGGCAAGTTTCTCATCCCGGATTCAACTTAAGATTTACATTTCATATTAATAAATATGAAAATGTGACATAAAAATTAAAAACCTACGTTTTCTCACTAGTTGATGCATGCGAGTCCATGCGACAACCCGTGTTGCCCTGAAATTACACACATGAATATGTATTAGTTTACATATATAAATTAATACGTACACAACATAAATTATAGCTACAATGATTAAACACTAAAATTGGTTTGATTGGTGCAAATGTCAACTATGTTAGCAGTTAGTACTATTACAACTATCATTTACTGTTAAATAAATCTAGTTTCTTATTTCTATAATTTTCGTGTATTATAACCTATAAATTTGAATTTATATTATCTATAGTTATGTTAACTCTGTAATTAGAATTAACGTGTTCGAATTGTTTGTCTATCGATTTCAAAAATTTTAGTTTTATTTTAGTATATAAATATGTGAAAAATGAAAATAGGTATTTGGGTCGAGTGAAAGCAGGTGGACCAGGCCCATTAATATATAGCCGATTTAACAGGCCCATTAATTCATGCTTGCCCAAACGAAACGGGTCTATGAAAATGGATCGGGTCCTCAATATTCGGGTCGGATGGTTCAGGACTCGGTTACCGTGGGCGAGCTAATGGAGTAATGGGTTTGTAATTCGAATTCCACCCGAAGAAATTGAGTAACGGAATGGGAATTCTCGATTCGGGGAGATATTCATAGCAGGAGGAACAATCAAGCAGCGGGCTAGGGTTTTTGTCGATTCGGTCTAGATAGTGCAAAACCCGAAGCTGTTCCTGAAATTAGGGTTTTTTTCTCTTTGTTTCCCTTTTACGGTTTTGTGATCCCTCGATTTCTTTTTGCCGTCTTCATTCATGGCGGATGGATACTGGAATCAGCAGCAGCATCTTCCGCGGGCTCCGAAGCGTCCCCGTCCTGAGTTCGGTGAGCTGTTCTTTTTTGTTCTTCCGCTAAGATTTCACTTTTTTTAGCCTCAAGGAACTCTATTTGACGTTTTCGTTGATTATGACTATGCTGTTTCCGGTATGCGGATTTATGATTTTTTTTGCTTATCGTTAAGAATCTGGACTGCGTTTGCCTCAGATGTATATTTGGATCACTGTACTGAATTGTATTTCTTAATCAACATTTGGTTCAACTTCTCGTGTAGTTCTTGTGCTGGTGGGAATGAATGGGTGGATAGATCATTGTACAAGTTTTCATCTTTTACAGTTTTAGAGAGAGGGACGAATGTTGTCGGAAAGCAAAATTAGTTCTCTTTATGGTTCAACGGATGAGTGGTATGTATTGAATCTATTATACAGCTCAAGATGCCCTGTTAAAGCACTGTGAATATCGAAGAATTGGTTCTTTATAAGTGCAGATTCTGCATCTTTTGTGTGTCGTTCTGTGTCTTTGACTGTTGCGTGTAAAGAAATTCCACGGGTTTATACGGTCAGCAACTACGCATGTATAAAACCGTGCGAAAGCAGGAGAACTGAATTTAATTCCCTTGTCTTTCTTCTTGTAGAAGCACTGCCTTCTGCAATGCCTTCAGGCCATGGAATGCACGGTTATATGCCACGGGATGACGATCGTGGTATCTTTCAATCAGTCAAGGATACCGAAACGATTGATTCAGCTTATGACCGCTACCTGCAGAGTGTGGTACTATCCTCGTTTACTCATTCCAATTTTCTGGCTCTTCTTACATGTTTTCTTCTCTTCCCTTTTTGTCACTGACACTTTTCATGATTTCATCGAAAGCAAATGCCTTCTGTGCCTTCCGGGGAAGCTGTTCCCTATAACGGAGTCGGTTTGGGAAGAGCAAGAGGTAATGCAATGCCTGGCCCATCCATGGGTGATCCTCTGATGGGGCGTGGTGGAGTTCTTCCTCCAGATTTCGGGCCAAATGGCCGGCCTACCGGTTATGGTAAACAACCACCATTCGACGGAGTTGGCAGGCATGACCATGATGCGCTTCCTCTACCTCGCGATGCTTCCAACACTTTATATGTTGAAGGACTTCCTTCTAATTGCTCAAGGAGAGAAGTAGCTCGTATCCTTTCCGATTACACATGGAAGATAATTTACGTCTATCTGTTATTCTCTTAACCTGGCCAAAGTTTATGGTTTACAGTCCTTAACTAAGTTCTAGATATATTTCGACCTTTTGTGGGATATAAAGAAGTGAGGCTCGTGACCAAAGAATCTAAACATGTGAGTTTTACAGGTTCTTAATTCGGTGGGCATTGTTAAATTTATCTTTCTCCCAAATTTCTTTACCTTTGACATACTAAAGGGTCTGATCATGTTACTGACAATGCAGCGGAACGGAGATCCTGTTGTTCTTTGTTTTGTTGATTTTATAAATCCCGCCTGTGCAGCTACTGCTTTGAGTGCCTTGCAAGGTGATTGTGCTTTCCTCTAAATCCATCTCAAGTTGTCGACTTTTACCAGAATTGTGAATGGAAAGTTGATTACTTTGTTAACATGAATCGAGAAATGAATGATCACAGAGCTATTGTGTCGTCATTTCACAATTTCATAGATCCTTACTCTCTTCTGTTCGTGGGATCATAGAGCAGGTCTAACGATTTTATGGCATTAGGTTTTACATTGGCTGGGACCGGGTAAAAATGAGCGAACTCAATGCCCAAATGGAGTTCAATATTCATTGTTGTTTACCGACAAAAACTGCTTGTTCTCCAGCTTTACTGACACGACCCTGCACTCTGACAGGTTATAGAATGGATGAAACTGATCCAGAATCCAAGTTTTTGCGGCTCCAATTCTCCAGGAACCCAGGTCCAAGGCCTGTAGCACGTGGAAGGAGGTGAACCAGCAATCTCATGGTCCATAATTTATTCCTCCATGCTTTTTTCCAGCAAGGAAACCCCCCCTCCCTCCTTCAAGTAGATTCTCTGCAAAAAAACAAAAACAACCATTTGGAGATCTGCTGCTCAATGGATGAATCCAGTGCCCTAACAAAGAGCAATGGATGTTCATATGGAATTTGCTACATTAAGGTGATTGGATCAAACTCTTCTGCTTCTTTTTTTTTTCTTGCCGCCTGGAAACCTTTGCATAGTCTCTGTTATCCTCCTTTCCTAATTTGATGAGCTTTGTATTGTAACAAATACTGCCGAGACGAAATTGTCGAAAACTTCTCCTTTTTGTTAAGGAGATGTACACAATCTCGGAATATTAGACTATGAATGTTGATAGTTTTTATTTTGAATTTTTGGTTTTTGGGTGTTTTAGTATCTGTAAATCGAAGAAGAGCGTTTTTGGTTTTTAGTTGATTTTTTTTACCAAAATAGTTTACCGAGTTTTTAGGAAAACTAATTTACAAAATCTTAAGTATCAATTCTTTTGGTTTTTGGATTCTAAAAGCTCCAAAAACCTCTCACCTTCAAGCCCTTGATCTCCCACATAATCTGCAGTTTGTGTAGTGTATTATGTTAACTAGCTCTCTGCTTTTCTTTGGTTGGAACTAAAACTACTTGAAAATTTGAAATATGTTTTCTTCTTTGTCTTTTGGGATGGTGTGAATATGTTCATGCCTCATAGTAGAGGTATATGTGTATATGCATGCATACATATATATATATATATATATATATATATATATATGAGTAGTATATGTTACAGCCAAGACTTAGAATTTGCTTTGATGCAATGCAGTCTTCTCTGTGTGATTGATAAGTCATCCAAAGTCCGAAGCTTTAAAGTTTGGATGGTCACTCTTAGTTGTGGCTATTTTGGTTATTAACCGAATAGTAATGAAACCGAAGCGAATCGTAATCGAATCGAATCCGATATAAAAATTTGATGGGTTATAATTTTTCTAAACTTGAAAAAATCGAAATTCATCCGATTAATCAATAATTTTTTTTGAAAAATGAATTTTTACAAAAAAAATAAATCTGAATCGAACTGAATTGAACTGAAGTTTATATAAAAATTCAAATATTTATAATTTTTATATAACCAAAATAATAGAACTCATATATAAACTAATATAATCTGAATCGAAATCCAAAATGGTCACCCTTTAATCACTCGCACATAGTTTCATAGAAAGATTTGTGTGAAAGTGTTCCCTTTTTAGTTGCCTTCCTCAAAGCCCCTTTTGTTTTTTTTCCACCTCTTTTGACTTGTGTTCCTGCCCTTTTTTTGTTCTTTCCCAAAATTAAAGATTTTAATTTATTTTATTACAGTTTTGTATATATGACACCAGAACTGAAAGAAACTAAAAAAACGGACTTATCAGTTAATCTATAAATTATTTTAGAAACCAAAGTTCGAAGTCTTCACGTGGTTATGAAAACCATAAGAGATTAAAACTCTACTATTTTATTCAATTATTTGCAATGTTACATTATCTAATATTTTGAAACTTTATATATTTAATTAGTATTTAAAATAGAGTTCGTATATTTAATTCATACTATCAGTCAAGATTTATGGTATTAATGCGAGATTTTTTCTTCTTATATTTAGTTTGGTGAAATCAATTAATAGAGAGATTATAATATTGTTTAGAAGGGCATAATAATATCCAAAAGGCATATGCTTTTATTTTCCACGTCGACTTTTCGCAGCATAAGAAAGGAAACGAATCTTCAGGTTTTATGTCCCGATCCATCCATCCATATTAACATCAATCAACGTGTGGCATTTTTAGGTAATAATAAGTTTATATATTATTATATTTTTAAAAAAATCATGTTAAAATTTTTACCTAATTAAATCCATTCCATTTTTTAATCTAAATTTAATAATATCTAAAATATATTTTACTTCAATTTTTTTTCTAATTTCTAATAATGAATTCTAAGAGAGTGGACATTATAAAAGAAATTCAACTTGGTTATGTTTATACAAATGATAAAACACCAAACAGATTTCACAAAGCTTCAAACTCTATACAAAGTTAAAATTGTCAACAGTGGTTTTTAATTTGGTCATCTTACGATAGAAATTTTGCACATCCATAAATTATGACAGTCCAATATACACATAATTATTAAATTTGTGCATAATAACAAGGTCTTTGCAGTGTTTTTTAATAACCAAAACATGTATTTGTGTTTATATTTGCTTATGACCATATTCATGAAACAGAGTTTGATTTAATTGTAATAATTATGGTCTGTTTAATGACCTTTGATGCCAAATCCTCAAATTTTCTAGTGTAGAAAACTATTACTAAAATTAATCAACTTTTATTTTCTATAAATAAAAATATTAAATAAACTTATAGGATCGAAAGTTGGATGATCTAGTGGGAAAAAATATGTGAAGTATATTCATGGCCTGGGTTCAAACCCAAGTGTGGAATAACTTTTCAGATAACTTCTGAATTATCAAAAAAATTATATAAAATCATATCATAGCATTAGAGGTTAATTTTTACGAGAATAATTTCTAAGTCGGTGAATAACATATTTTAAAAAATCTAATGATTAGTTTTGAAAATATTTAGGTGAACCAAAAGACTAAGATTAGTAGGCAAAATCAATTAAATATTTTCATTGACTAGGAAAAAAGGAGACATGTTGTTTAACAAACTTAATTTTAATAATATTTATAATATTAAATAAAGTGGACCGAGATCTATATAGTCTACCTAATCGATCGATGCTATTATATTTTGGCATATTTCCAAGATGTCACACTTGGAAATTATCCTCTCACCTAATTCTTCCATATTTTTCTTGGTTTTTTACTCATATTTATGATATAAACAACGAATTTTGAATTATTATTCCAATTGAATATGGTTATTTTTAAATTCAAGGCACTTATTATAACGAATTAAGTAAAATAGAGTCCAAGACAAATTTAATTTAGCATAAAACGGATTACTGTAATTGAATGCGCCATTTAATAATCAATACAAGGACAACTACTTTCTAACAAGGAGTCTAACATGGTGATATGTGACGTAGAACATGATGTAAATAATTTAATCAATGAATTGAATCTTTATTATAATATCTATTTGATCCTTAAACAGGTCATTCATATATATATATATATA